TCAACCAAAGACTCATTGACAGTTTCTTTCAGCATAGAAACAGCAGATAGAAGAACAACCATGTTATCTATCCTGTATATACATACATACAAAATTTTTCCTTCTTTCCCTTCTCTTTTCCCACATCCCAGAAGCCCTTTACTTGGCTGGTCATTTTGATTGGATCTGCTGTCACCACAAAGATGGCAATTTTAATGTGAATAAAAGATGTCATAACTTACGCCAATAGAGATCCATCATCCCCTTGCTTGTGAGTGTTATCATCTATAAATATGAAAAGCAGTTAATGTAAAAATGCAAAGGAAATCCTCAAATCGAAAGCAGAAAGATGTGAGAAGGAAAGAAAAGGGATTGGATCACACATTGGGCTTGAGCTGCTGGTGGTGGATAAACCCTACATGCAGAACCTTGTCTGTCATCAGTTTCCATTACCTTTCCCTCCCAAATTTAGGTTACTGAACCTAACTGTAACCAGGATCTTGTTAACAACCTATAGGAAAGTTAGATTAGAGACAATAGCATTCACCTACAAGGACAAAGAAAGAAGGGGAGGACTGAAAACATTTTAAAGAATATTATTTTCTACCTCAATGGTCTCTGAAAGTGGTGACGTGCAACAACAGTCTAGGATTCTAGGCTTTTTCTTCTAATGTATTTCAAAAGCAATGTGCAGAAAACCCCAAGATAAAGGCTACCTTTAAAAGTCAATGTTTAAAAAAAAACAGGATAAGGGCTGGGGATTTAGCTCAGTAGCACAGCGCCTGCATAGCAAGCATAAGGTCATGAGTTTGATTCCTGGTACTGGAAAGAAAACCAAAAAACCAAAAAAAAAAAAAAAAAAAAAAAAAAAGAAAAAAAAACAGATAAGGGATGAACATGTAGCTCAGTGGTAGAGTGCTTTCTCAACATGCATGAGATACTGAGGGTCATGGTTTTAATCCCCAGCTCTGCAAAAAATGAAAGCAACAGCAAAGATAGGATAAAAATATAGAGACTCAATTGCAAATAAAATGTGTGCATTTAATATCTAAGAGGTCAAAGTGCTTTGAAGATATCCCTATATTGAGGCAAAGAAATAGAAGTGTGCATTGATCCTCATGCCGTGGAAGGTGACATTATGATATGGGAAGGTAAAATTACCTTCCCAAGGTGGGAAAACGATCTGAAGTATGTGTTAAATACCTCAGTTTATAGGGTTTGTTTGATGGGTCCTTCAATTTGTACAATACCAGATGACTCATACAGGAGGAAAAAAATAGAAAGGAAACAGAGTGTATCAGTTCACACTGGAAAAATCTAATCTTCTTCAACAATTCTTTTCAGTAGTATCCACCTGCAGCCCCATAGAGGTTAGTATGGAGGGCCCATTTATTTTAAATCTTAGAAGACTGTATTGTTCATCATTCTGGATGTCTTCCATTACAAGGGACCTATGATTCAATTCAATAGTTTTTTTGGGGAAACTTGGAAGTCTAGTATGGCATAAAGTGAAATGATTTACAAGTCAGTGAGAAGAGGTTGGAGTCAAGAAAAAAGCGTGGGGACAGAGGAGGTGGTTTTCCTTTAATCCTTGGGAATTTGAGAGAGAGATAATCTCAGTGTCTATGAAAGATAACACGGCGAAGTTCCCTTTCTCTTTAGTGTAATAGTAGTAACACAGTAGTCTCTTACCTCCATAATTTCAGTGTTCCTTACCTTTTAACTCCAGGTGGCCTCTTCCACTGGCCTCTACTTTAGGCGATTCTGGTTCTTGCTTTCCAGACATAGCTCCACGATTAAGGCTTTAGATTTGGGACCAGGTTTGGGGGAGAAAGAACTGTTGAAAGAACTTTTTTTTTTTTTTTTTTTTTTTGAGGCTGGGTTTCACTATGTAGTTTAGCCTAGCTTTGAACTCACTATGTAGTCTAGGCTGGCTTCAAACTCACTGCTATCCTCCCGCCTCAGCCTCCTGAGTGCTGGAATTACAGGAGTATGCCATCACGCCTGGCTGGAAGTGACTGTTAACAGTAACTGCGGTAGTTGCCTACAACAAGCACCCAGGAGGAGCCATGTGGTGGCGCATGCCTGTAATCCCAGCACTCGGGAGGCTGAGGCAGGAAGGTCATTGGGAGTTCGAGACCAGCCTGGGCTACAAAGTGAGCTCAAGGCCAGCCTGAGCTGCATAGCGAGACCCTGTCTCATAAAGACAGAAAGCAAGCAAACAAACAAGTACCCAGGAGGGAGAAAAGTAGATTAACAGTGAATGAGGGATGCTGGACTCTAGGATTGAGCGGTGGTCTATGAGAGCCCAGCAGGGGTGAAATTGTGTGAGATGAAGGGCGAATGATAGTTCAACAGCTAACCCCTGGCTGGCAGAGCACAATCAGAGAGTTGAAGCTGCTACAGCTTCAAGCTTTCATCACAATCCTTTCTTCTATCCTTCCATAACCAAAAATATATGTACTGGGGTTGGGGCTGTAGTTTGGTGGAGGAGGGATAGTACAGGACCAGAAAATGTCCCACCTCTGTAGCACCCTAAAGGTACATTGTCATGATAGGACCTAGAAAACACTGGCTTGTGGTAGGATGGAAGAGCTAAGAAAACGGTGGCAACCTACTCGATGTCTGTCAAGGGGTGACTGACCCACTACTCTTCCTTTCACTGGGTTTCGAGAGGAGGTAGCACACTACCTCTGGGTCAGAAACAGGACCTTCTTACCTCTGAAAGTTTCCAAAATTCTCCGCGGAGCTTGAGCGTCTTCACCGCCTAGCTACACAAACTGGTAGTTACTCGATTTCCCAGCGGTACTGGCGGTCTGAGCCCCCTGTGGCCTTCTGACGTCAGAAGGCTCCGCCCTTTTGGAATGTGCTTTTAGTGACGTTAAAAGGAGCCACGTGACCAGCTTAGCCCAATTAGCTTACCAGTTGCCCACACAAGGCTGTAGGCTCCACTCACCAGCCAATCTCAAGAATGAGACCTGGGTGTCACGTCTATAGCACTCCTGCTCTCTCTGACATCTCAAAAGCCCACACTAATGTCCTGGGTGTACATCAATTTAAATAGGTGTCCTCACCTTCCTCTGTGTTGACATTTCCTGATGAAGAGGATTCCCAGCCCCCATTTCCTTTCAACTATTGTTGAAGCAGCAAAATTATCCAGTGCCTTTCCCTGGAGTGGCCAGGAAAGCATCATTAGTCCTACTGTGGTCCCATTCAGTACTTTGGATATGAGCCACAGTGCTAAAGATTGTTGCTCCTTCTCTTGACAGGACACAGGCTCTGTTGGACTCTATTGGCTTTTGTTCAGGAAAAAAAGCCTTTGCTCTCATACTAATCCCTAGGCATATGTACTGGCATCATGTTGTCTTATTTTGGAAAGCAGGGGCCTGTGACAGAAGTCAATGAAGTAGGGAATGCAGAGCCACTTCACCTTTTAAATCCTTCCTTAGAGTGAAAAGGAAGAAGGATAAAGGGAAAGAAACATGAAAATACTAACAGTTTTGCACAGTAGGATTCGGGTGAATCTTACTTTCTACTTTTTTGTATTTTACTATTTTTCCACAGTAAACATTAGGTAAATAAAAAAAAAACATTAAAAAAGTCCAAGTAGGTCAGGCATGGGGGCACACTCTTGTAATTTCAGCACTCGAGAGGCTGAGGCAGAAGGATTGCCATGAGTTCAGGGCCAGCCTGAACTACACAGAGAGACCCTTTCTCAAAAAAGCAAAAAAAGACACCCAGATCCTCAAAGTCAGAGCCAGTGCTCTGCCATGCCAGCTGCCAAACAGTTCTTTGCCTGGCTAGTTCCAATCTGCACTTCTGTGGACACTGTTGGCCTGCTGGTCGTCCTGACTCCCCCTTTCCCCACCAGCTCTCTCCCCCTCTTCTTTATTGGAGCGTAAAAAGGGAAGGCCTGGGGGCAACACGGAGACCTTCTTGTGCCCATTGCAAGTGCCACTGCCGCCATGGGTCTCACCATCTCCTGGCTGTTCTCCCACCTCTTCAGCAAGAAGCAGGTGCATATTTTGATGGTTGGATTGGATGCTGCTGGCAAGACGACCATTCTGTATAAACTCAAGTTAGGGAAGATAGTCACGACCATTTCTACTGTTGGTTTTAATGTGGAAACAGTAGAATATAAGAACATTTGTTTCACAGTGTGGGATGTTGGTGGTCAAGATAAAATTAGGCCTTTGTGGAGGCATTACTTCCAGAGTACTGAGGGTCTTATTTTTGTGGTAGATAGCAATGATCATGAAAGAATTCACGAAGGAGCAAACGTACTGCAGAATATGCTTCAAGAAGATGAGCTGCAAGACGCAGTGCCGCTGCTTTTTGCGAACAAACAGGGTTTGCCAGCTGCAATGGCCATCAGTGATATGACAGATAAATTGGGTCTTCAGTCTCTTCATAACAGAACATGGTATGTTCAAGCCACTTGTGCTACACAAGGACTGGACTGGCTGTCAAATGAGCTTTCAAAACGTTAACTGAAGCTGGACATCTAACCTTGGACAGGTTTAGGTCTAGGCTAATGTCAACAAAATTAGTTTGCATTTTGGTTATTAAACAGTATCTGGGACTGGTTTGGGCAGAATATTACAGTGTTTAAACTTATTTTGCTGCCAATTATTATTTACCAAGTACAATGTTGCCATTTAGCAATATGCTTTTTTTTTTTTTTTTTTTTTTTTTTGGTTTTTCTCCGGTACCGGGAACCGAACTCACGACCTTGCGCTTGCCAGGCAGGCGCTTTTGCCGCTGAGCTAAATCCCCAGCCCCCCCCTTTTTTTTTTTTTAATATGCTTGGTTTTAAAGAGATTTTCCTTGGGGAAAAAAGTATCCTCTGTCAATTTTACTTCTTTTAAGCCTACATGCCTGGACATAGCTATTGTGTCACCTTTAAATCATTTTGAATGTTTTTTGAGCCCACAACAAATAATGTTTTCAAAGTTATTTCCTTGCTATTTTACTGATTCCTTTATCGCATGTGGGACAGTCTGCTGATTCAAAAATGTAGCATTCCATTTGTATTTATTTCTGTCCCTCGCCAAAAAGATTTTCAAATATGGCTTCTACCAGCCAGGGAAATGCTCCAAAACACTATTCAGCTCTCTTGCACTAAGGAACTTATTTCTTCCCCCATTATCAACTCCTGGCTCCCATCAGACAAACTTACCTTGGAGTGGTTTGGATTCAATAGCTGATTCTGTGCTGGTTGCAAAGAGTCCATATGGAGGTGGTATTTTAATACTTGGCAGATCGTTTTCCTTTATATTATTATCTTTTTATGTTCCATGTTGCTTTTGGTATCATCCTGACCCTTTGTGCAGTATATAATGGTTCTGCTGATGTTTTACTGTTTATTGATGAACATATTTTCATGAAGAGTTTTTGGAAGACTCATGAAACTCAGTAATTTTTCTTCATAACCCATTTGGAATTATTCCTAATAAAATGATTAAATGTAAAAAAAAACCAAAAAAGAGAGAGAGAATAAAATAAATAAAAATAACAAAGATCAAGTATAGAAGGTAGAATTAGTGCTTCCAGGCTTTCCAGGGTTCTTTTTATCTAGTTTAGCCTTTGAATAGAGACAGGCAACTCTGGCCTAACTCATTCCAGATGGAATTTTAAATTCCTTAGGGAATTCCTATCAAAGGATCATCTCTGCTTTCACTTCTCAATACTAAAACATTGTTTCTGTCTGAAGAGAAAAACAATCTCCTTTCATAGTTATTCCCTTTAAATTGTCACTGGATTTTCTCTGACCCTAAATGGCTGTTTTTTGTTTTTTTTTTTTTTTTTTTTTTTTGTGTGTGTGTGTGTGTGTGACTCTTAAAATTATGGCCATTGCAGGTGCTTAGACCCTTAGTGGGTTTAGGAATTGTTGGACGTTTTACCAATACTACCAGCCATAGTGGTAAGGGTGAGGCAGAAAAATATTAGCTGATGCCATATCTACACTTGACATCAGGGAAATTGAGAATCAAAGATTTGGGATCAGTCAGGATCTTTGATACTATCTCATTTAATCTTCACATTGACATGAGAAAAAGGGATAAAAGATCTGTCACAAGCCAGTACCAATAGAACTCAGATCTTCTTTCTCACTGTTCAGTGCTCTTTTCTCCATATTATTCATGGGACTGAAAGAAATACACATGACAAGCACGTGGTCACCATTTTGAAACAAGAAAAATCGTCTCTGGTATCATTCTATCCAGAGGCTTTAACTGGAAGTTTATTCTATATATTGTACATTTCCTTTCCTCTTTATCTTTCATTAGTGTGTCTTTATTTTGAATCCAGATTTTTAGGGCTCTGCATGCTGCCAATCCCCACAGGTGATAGCAGGTATCTGCTATCACTCTATATATGTAATTGGCCTTCTGATGACAGTGCCCTGATCTAGAAGACTGCCTTCTAGTAGCAGTGCTTTTACTTTCTGTTACTGTGACAGGTCAATAAGAAGGATATTTAGGGATAGAATCTTGTGATGGGTTCTCAAATAATACTATGTGAGTGGTGCCTAAAGATTTTACATTCAAGGCCAGAACTTTATATGGGAGGAAAGGGAAAAGGAGCTTCACAGTTGATAGAGATATTCCTTGTCCCTATTAGCTTTTCTTGTTCCTCAAATCTGGAGGCACATGAAGAATAAAAAATGATGCAAACTATAGTCTATTTAAGGTCACCTCATGGATTTGTAATTAAGGTACTTGGTCTCACATTGCTTGCTTTCTTCAGCATAGCCTAATGGACAAGGAACTAGACTGGAAAACAGAAAGCTTGGCCGCTGTGGTTTAAATGTCTGTCAAAATGTATGTGTTGGAAACTTAACACTTTTTTTCCATCTCTTTTTATTACTGTATATTGGTTATACATATTAATGGGCTTCATTTTGATAGATTTATACATGAAATATCATGCTGTAATCATTTGTACCCCCATCACCCTCCATGCCCTGCCATCTTCTCTAGTTTCATATTTTTGGAGGAGAGGGTTCAATGTATATATTTTGATCATATCCAATCCCCTACATACCCTTATATACTCTGGCCCCTTTACTACATTCTTTCTTTATTTTACTGCATTCTTTTGTCTAATAATCGTCTCCCTCCTACTTTCTTGTCATCTTCTTTATTTTTATTACTACATATTGGCAATGCATAATGATTACATTCATATCTGAGATTTGGTATATGTACATAGCATATTGTAATTTTTTTTTACCCCTGTCCCTTCCCCTGCAACCCTCCCGCCATCTTTTTTTTTTTTCTTTTTTTTTATTTTAAGGATAAAAGGAGGGAAACATTAACAGACATACAACATTTTACAACATATCACAAGCACAATACAGACAAT